TCGGTTCTAGAGCTATCCGCAGCGAAGCTATTACTCCTGCATTCTATACAATCAAGGTCACATCTTCCCACACAAGCGTCTTGACATTGAAGCAATAGCTGGTCTGCCCTGTCTGGAAGAAGCTCTGGATTGCTTCAAAGAGGTTGGATTGCTGCCGTTCGTCACCGATCAAGAGCATTGGAATGAAGAGTTGCTGCTCCAATTCTATGCCACACTTCACATCCGCGGGTACAACAGAGATCCAAAGACTTGGGTCTTGGAGTGGATGACAGGAAACGTTCATCACGAAGCCAAAGCCTTTGACATCATTGAGCTCACTGGTCTACCCACTCCTGGCGATCTCTATGAATCTGGCTGTCAACTTCACAGTGAAGCTGTGGAGAGCATCTTTCAGAAGCCTGAACCTAACATGAGTCAGATGCTTAGTATGGTGAGGCCATTGCCCCAAGATGCTGCATATCCCAAAGAGTTCTTTGTTGAAGACCTAGAGTATCTGCCAAGGACTATTTATCACATCATAAGGCGAACTCTCTGGCCCATCAAAGGACACTCTCCACATGCCAAGCTGGAAGGTGCAATGAAGACTTTTGTCTTCTATATTCTTCATGGCAAATGCTTCAATGCACAGGACTTCTTCATTCGCCAACTTGCTGCATCAGGCTCTGATCTTTTTGGCTTGAAGTTCTACGCCCCATGGGTAATGCGGCTGATCAAACTTCACTCGGCTATCTCATATCAGCCATCTGCTCGCAATCATCGGGTCTTTCTGCCTGATGGGGATATGTCTATTGAAGCCATCTATCCTGAGCCTGCCAAGGAACCTGTAAGTCTTCAGAATGTGGAGCATCAAAGTTTTTCTTAGTACATTGAAGGAGTTGAAGCAGTCACTCGTGTGTATCCTTTGGCTGGAACTACACGTGCACCACATCCTGCTCTTACTGAAGCCACCGACAGCACAACTGCCCAACGACCCAAGAAGCGCACTCGTGTTCTTAATGACTGAGAGCTTCTGGTGGCTCTTCATCAGAAACAGGATATGCATCATGACTGGCTGAAGCGACAAATGCAAAGCCTCTTGGTGGATGTCAACCGCATTCGCAATCTTACCACCAAGAATGCTTTTGTTGCCCATGAAACCTCTCGACGCACATGGAAGGGGCTGACGCTGATGTGCTCTAAAGATGATCTTCAAGAGGATGGCTTCTCTGAACGCTTCAAGTTTGACTCCACACCTCCTCGAAGGGCAGTACTGCGACGCACTCCATCTCTTGAAGACTCTGAGTTCTCTTCCTCTGCTGCAACTGTGAATGCCAGAGTGATCGAGGATGAAGACGATGCCACTTCACCACCACCTTCTTCAGCACGCTTCAACACTGCTCCCAGTTCTTCTGCACCGCCGAACACCACCGACGACTCTGCTGCTTCACCTACTCTTCATGGGAACGAGTAGATGCTCTATGTCTACAATCCTTTTTGGTCCTTACTGACAAAAGGGGGAGAAGCATATGAGTTTGATAGTCTTCAAGCGGGTCCATATGGGCGGGTGCTTTATATTTTGCTTCGTGTTTACAACTCTCGTTTTGACACATTTGGTTCTTTGAGTTGTAACACTTAAACTCAATGGTTGTCTACTACTTATTTGCCACTTTGTGATGCGATGATAAATTCCGCATGTGCGACGATAAATTCCGCACTTAGATCATTTTGCAGACGTCCATTTTCCATTATGCATGTCATTATCTTCACATACCTTCACATGCATAATGAATTGTCATCATAAGTTGAAGAGGATCTCCACAAGTACAACCTGCCATGTACATCTGCATTCCAAAAGCAAATTACTTATATGCACATCTTCAGGGGGAGCCCTTGCAACTTATGAAGACAATTCCTTATCCTTTACAATTTCACATATTATATTCCCTGTTGAAAACTTCAACTAGTTTGTCATCAATCACCAAAAAGGGGGAGATTGTAAGTGCATCTAGTGCCACCCCTAGTTGGTTTTGGAGTATTGACAACAAACCTAGTTGAGGGACTAATGTGTTTGTGAGAATTGCAGGATAACACAGGTAGAAGTCCCTCATTGATTCGGTTTTCCAACCAGAGATGACCCCTAAAATTGTATGAAGACATTGATGTCAAAGGTGGTATGTGAAGATACTCACATTGAAGACTATGACAAGAGAAGACATCGCATGAAGCCTATGGAGCTCGAAGACTTAGATCTTTCGTAGTTCTTTTTCTTCTTTATTGAGTCATAGGAACCACCGTACTGTTAAGTGGGGTCCAAGTGAACCAGTCAGTATGACTGAAGTGATGCTTAACCAAAACCTATGTCTTCGAGTGAAGACTATGAGAGCGAAACTTGTCCAGAGTCAGACAAGTTAGCTTTGCTTGTAGCCCAAGTAAAGCTGCCGCATGAGTTCGAAATCTGACCGTTGGAACATGTGTCAGTTCCTTAGTGACCCAGGGTCATTTCAGACAAATCAGGTCGGGTTGCCTAGTGGCTATAAATAGCCCACCACCCTACAACCATAAACGGTTGGCTGCTCAGAGTTAGAGTACAGCTTTTGTCGTTTGAGAGCAACCCACCTTGAAGCCTTTGAGAGAGAATTCCTTGCAAGGATAAAGCCCTAACCACCCAGAGCCTAAGAGTGTTAGGCATCACTTAAGTCTTCTTGTCTGTGTGATCTGAAGACTTATTACACTTGAGGACTGTGAATCCTCTAGCCGGTTAGGCGTCGCGTTCTGAGCATCCAAGAGACATTGTGGATTGCCGGTGAACGAAGTCTGTGAAGGTTTGGGAGTCTACCTTGAAGACTTACCTGAGTGATTGGGCGAGGTCTGTGTGACCTTAGCTCAAGGGGAATACGGTGAGGAGTGGGTGTCCTGAGCTGCGTGTTCAGGACTGGGTGTCCGGGACTGTGTGTCCTCAGGTTTAAATACCTATCCGCCCTAACCAGACGTACAGTTGTCACAACAACTGGAACTGGTCCAACAAATCATTGTCTTCAACGAGTCACTGGTTTCATCCTTCCCTTCCCTTTACTTACTATTGGTCCTTGTGAAGTTATTGTATGATTGCACTATCTTTTGTCTTCACTGAGTGACTGCGTGTTCTGTTTGGCTTCATAATATCTTCCTACCTAATCCTTACTACATTGCTGCTATTAGTCATTGTGCTTTCACTCCATTGAATACTTGACTATGGCTTGCTTAGTGTAGTCTACCTTCCGCTGCATGGTAATAGGTTTATTTCTATCGTTTGTCTTCATAACTTCCACGTTTTGAAGACTTTCATAAAAATCGCCTATTCACCCCCCCCCTCTAGTCGATATAACGCACTTTCAACATGAGACATGGCTACTACCTCAAACGAAGACATTGTGCATACTCAGGTATCAAGGAGTTGGCCATGAAGAAGCCAAGGAGCAAGGAGAATCAGAAGAGGAAGATGGATGTGAAGACGGAGAAGAAGGGGAGCTGGAGAAGAAGTCCCAACCACCGGACGACCGACTGGGACCGGACGTCCAGAGCCTGAAGCTCCAGTCAAACCCTAGCGAGCGGACGCCCGGCCCGGACCGGACGACCGGTGCCCCTGCACCCGAGCCAAACGAGCGGACGACCAACGCCAGCGGACGTCCAGCGACCGGACGACTGGCCCCCTCCGGAAATCCGCTACACCAGCATCCGAGCCAGAACGAGCGGACGACCGGCAGCCATCGAACGTCCGACCGCCCATGAGACACCGGACGACCGGTCCCCAGCGGACGTCTGAAACCTGGATGTGTCCAGTTGCGGGATGAGGCCCATGTACCCCTTCACTTTGCCCCCCATTTGCACTAAGACTATAAATAGACCTCTCCCTCCTCCTAGCTAGGGTAGCAAAGGATTAGCTCATATGTCATGTGAGAGCTTTTCTCATCCACTTGGTTACCTTCTCCTCAGAGATTGCGCCTCCGACGGAGAAGATCCCCCAAACAGATTCAAGACCCCTTTATGGGAAGAACCTCAAGACCTCCTCACGGAAAAGACCGGCTACCTTTGTATCATCCCTAGTTGGCCGTGTACCATGTGATCTCTAATGTACTCGAGGATCTAGCACATGTGTGACTATTTCTTGTTGGTTTCGTGTTTCTCTTGTGTTTCCCCCGTGTTTTCCCTCGTTCCCCTCCTCGTGTTCTTCATGTTCTTCACGGGATCCGCTCCTTTCGTGAAAGATCGGCCGATTAGGATTCCTACCCTACATCAGATATGTTGGAGACGTAGGGTTGTGGCCAAGGACTCATCGGGACAAGTCATTGTTGCGAGGGCAGGTAGACAAGAACATTCCCAAGATGCCTTCAGCGCGGAAGTTCAAGCGATGGCTAGAGCAGTTGCTCTTGCAGCTGACATTGGCGCTGTCCGGGTTGCTTTCGAGACCGACTCCCAGCTGCAGGCGGAGGCGCTGGATATACGGAAGAACGACTCGTCGCCATATGCAGTCGTCATTGAAGATATCAAATTCCAGTTGAAACTTTGGTTTGCAAGGCATAGGGTGAGTGTGTGTAGTTGTAATGAAAATGCAGTGGCGCATGAGCTTGGCGAGATTGGCCATACGTGTTTACCGGGTGTATGTATGGACTGGGAGACCAATGTACCGCCCTTAGTGCCTGCCTGTGCTTTGGATGATATGCCCAAGCACCATTAAGTTATAAAGCGTTGCTTTGCCTAAAAAGACTAAAGATTCGAAGAAGAAATACGAGGCTATAAGTAATCATGCATACAATTTAATGATACGTGACTGCACTAATTAACAGGTTCAATTTAAACTAACCAAATCATCTACCGTGGGGCCCACGTGTCTGTGGGTCATTAGCCCTAAGCTAATCCCTAACATAAGGGACCCACCTAGCAGTGACACATGCGATGGTTCAAATGGTGGCGCACTGACGGCGACCACCAGTGACGGTGGCGACGCACGGGATTCACCATCCGGTGACCAAAACAAGTGCAGGATGGACCATTCGAACATGGGCTCAAAGCCACATCCATTGGTGGCATTGGGCGAAGCTGGGACGGTTAGAATCGATGGCAACAACGACGGCAGGCGACAGCCGGAGCATTGGATGGATGGATCCAACGCCACGGGGCGCGTTGGCTTCCTAGGAGCCCAGAAGCATGGCGCGGTGCTCGGACGTGAGCCACGGGGGTATTGTCTACGGTGGCGAGGTCAACAGCAGTGACGGGTCTCGGCAACCATGGCGTCAGTAGCTACGGGCGGCGATTCAAAGTGCTGGGAGAGGGTGTCGGAATCGGGGCTTCGCGGATCCAAACAAGGTTCAAACTCTGGGGCGTGTGCGAAGATCTAACTTAGCTCCTGTCTCAAGCTCATTGCGTCATGGCTTGGCCTCGTCGAGTTCGTGTGAGCGGGAAAATAGGTGAACATAGAGATTTACCTAGGTACGGGCCACCTTGCAGTGTAAAACCCTACTCCTGCTTTGTGTTGGATTGGCCCCACGAGGAGGTTGAGGATGAAATAGTAAAGTGGATGAGCTGCCTCGAGAGAGCTCAATGGTTGAAGGGTTTCTCCTCCTCTCTACGGTGGAGACTAGCCTATATTTATACTAGGCCCCGGTTCTCTTCCCTTATAACTTAGGCGGGAAGGAATACCACAGTGGCCAATTTTGAAGGGAGACAACAGTACATCTTATCCTGACAAACGGTGGTCTTCGCCTGCAAAGCTTCTGGTCGTGACGCAGTGGTAGGCTTGACGATGACATCCATCCTGCCGAGCTCGTGGTCTTGGTCTTGTTGCACCGGAATGGAAACCTTTGGGGGATCCCTTGGGAACCCGCATACGTCCTTGCCTCCTTAGCACGAAAGAGGAAACTGCCCTGGACTGCGCCCTGCTGGCGCCCGCCTGGCCTTGGTTGTCATGGCCCACGTCATCGCGTGCCTCACGAGGTGGGAGGCTTGCATAGAGATCTCCGCTCCTTGGGAGGCAGGCTCGGGGAGCCGCTCCTCGGGAGGTCTTGGTGTTGTTCGCCTCGCGAGGTGGGGCACCCTCGCGAGGGTCTTGCTCTTGGGGTCTTGTAGCTGGGCCGTACCGGGCCGTCGATGAAGCCACACGCTGGGCCGCAGGCAGGCAGGTCTGGGTACCCCCGATCCCAGAACGCCGACAGAGGGGTTTCGACAGAGAGATCACCAGGAAGGCACAAGGAGGCCCAATGAGTAACTAGGAACAGCAGGGGACGCCGAATTCGAGGAAGACCGCCGACGACCGAAGGTTGAAGACGACCTCGGTTCGGTCGAAGTAGAGGCGCCTAGCTCCAACGGGTGGCACTAGAAGACGAAGAGAGCAATGTTGAAGCTCATGGGCATGTCGGCGAGGCTCAGGAGGCTCGGGGGGCTACGCAGGTGGCGGAATCATGGCAACATGTGGTTCGACCTTGCGCGGGGAAGAACAAAACGAGAGGGGGAAGGGGATCTGGAGGCTAGGGTTTAGTCTCGGAGCACCGGTGGCATCCTTATCCACCGCGAGGAGACAACAAATGGCTGACGCGTGGAAATCCTTGCAATGGACGCAGTGCTCGCGCCCAACACGCCTCGGATGAGTAGTAGGAGGAAGACGATGTGGCAGTGGGCTGGTCTACTCCTATGCGCATTAAAGCCCACAGGCACAGTAGGTTTTAGTATTTTCCTTTATCTTTTTCTGTTTAATGTTTTGCTCTCTATTTTCTATTTTATTTTAATACTATATGGGTTTTGTTAAATGTGAGACTTGTCACAAAAATACTTTGCAATATTATAGGGTTGTCCGCAAAGTTTGGGATCGTCTTAAATTCATTTACATTATATTCGCATTTAAATGGGGTGGTTAAAGGATATCGTTCCACTAAAATAATTGACAGGGATAATTTGGGCATCCAAATGTAGTTGATATTATTTTTACCAATGCTTTGGGATTTTATGACATATCGTAAACATTTTTGTTTCACCGTTTGAAGAAGTAATAATTTGGCTTGCAATTTAAATTGGAATTTGACTTTGATTTTTATCAAGTGGCAATTAAGCTTAGCAAAATAAGATGACATGGTATCATTAGCAAGGGATCACTGTAGCATGATTATTGGGGTGTTACACCTACAAGGCCCAAAGGAACTCCACGGAGAAACCATCCGGACTCGGTGCTCTACATGTGGGCATGGCTTTAACCGCACACCAAATCTCGTCCTCGGAGAAGGGTTGATCAAGTACGTGAAGATTGAAGTGTGAGGATGGATATATTCCAGGGCAAGGGTGAAAGCACGCTCCTCGGAGGAACCAACGATGGACGAGAAGTGGTCGAAAGCCATGTCAGCAAGAACATCAGGTTCATGAACTGTGTTATCTACAAACTTGAGAGAGAACATGAGGTTCATCTGCCTGCGGTACGCAACACGGACACGAAGGAATGTAGCACTCATGTTACCGTGCTTGAGCTAGGAAAAGCAGGTGTGTTGCCTTGAGATGGAGCAATCCAGGGACTTAAATCCAAGATATGAAGCCTTCACGCGTCAGTGCAGCCAGGTTTTGAAGGAGGACAAAGGGCGGAGATCCTGTGCAACATTGAGTCAAGTGATGAGCTCACGTGACCAAAAGTTGTAGCACAGTGTTGCCAATGGATTTGGCACTCCACTGCTGTAGGCTGCGAGCCATGGCCTTCATTCGTGCCACAATGCGTTAGAATGGTTCGGTGTCGTGATCAACGGAGTTCCACGCCTCAGAAATCACAAGGTGGAAGCCATCTAGTTTGGGCCAAAAGCACGCGAAAAGACACTGTCTAGCTCCCGGCAAAGGTGCGGAACAATCAAGAAGAAGGGGGTGATGGTCGGATACAACGGAAGGGACACCGCAAAAGGCAATGCGGGTACTCGGAGCTCCTAGAAGAAGAGTAAAGTAAGCAGTCCTTGCAGACCAACATTGGGTTGTCACGTTCACTGGACTAGGTGTATCGCCACCCATGCATGTACATATCACGCAATCCCTCATTCGCAAGGAATCGGCGAAAGCGGATCATGATGTGATGGTTGAGGTTAGGGTTATTCTTGTCTTCCGTCGAGAGGATCATATTGAAGTCTCCCCCGATAAGCCAAGGTCTAGTCGGGAAAGCACAAATATCATGGAGATCCGCGAGGTACGCAATCTTGTCATTGACCCCAAATTATGTCATATACATTTAGTTAAAATGTCAATGCTTTCCAAATTGAACCAAATATTTAGAAGAAAATATCAACAACTATAATATTGGGGAAAACTTTATTTTTCACTCTAGCTTTTGCCTACTTTGCTTATGCCACTCTAGAATTTGACATGTCACTTTTGCCACTCTTAGTTTCTGACAATCTTCACAAATGCCATTCCGTGGCAAAACCAATAAGTTTTTATTTCACTTTTGTCACTCTTAGATATTGACAATGTATCACAATTGCCACTCTAAAATTATTGCTTTTGCCACATAATGGCAATAGTGATGTATTGTCAAAAACTAAGAGTGACAAAAGTAAAATGTCAGATTCTAGAGTGGCATAAACAAAGTGATCAAAAGCTAGAGTGGCAAAAACAAAGTTTTCCCATAATATTGAATAAGTACATCGTAAAAATATATCTAATTGTGAATAAATTTATATTTAGTTGATACTTTTTTAACTTCATACTAGCCTTTTATATTTAGGGAAACAACTTATATTTAGCAGATTTAAAAATATATCAAATCGGTTAAAATATAAAAAAAATTCTATATTGCAAAAACAAAAATACTATATTGCAAAAGTATTGTCGTAAGAGTTTGATGAAGGTCATCTAAAAAAAGAGTTTGATGAAGGGATAATAAATCGAGACGGAGTTGTACTGGTGGTACACAAATACAGTACACGGCCGACTAGCTAGCTGTCCCACTAGGGCCCAATAATAACTCTGGCACTCGAGTTCTTTTGTGCCTTTCCCTGGCACTCGAGTTCATTACAAGTACGTATACGTAGCGATCTCCACACCACCAATATTCCAAAGTTCAAACCAAACACGAGAGGCAAAAAGCAAAGCAAACCACCTATATTAACGTACACGCACGTACACATTTCCGACCCACCAATCGATCGAGCTCTCGTCGTGTCGCGTCGAAGATCAACGATCGCCGTCGTCCCGACCTCATGGCCACCTCCGGCCACATCGTCGTCGACGTCGGCACCGATGAAGATGCTTCGGCGGGTCAGCCGCCCGTCGCGCCAGTGCCGTACCGGCTGTCCTTCACTGACCTGTCGTACACCGTCAGGACGCGCGGCGGCAGGCTGGCGAGCCTGCTGTCCCGCGCCAGGGCGTCCACGGATTCGCCATCACCGTCAACCACCAGGGCGCTGCTGAACGGCATCTCCGGCGAGGCCCGGGAAGGGGAGCTCTTCGCTGTGATGGGCGCCAGCGGGTCCGGCAAGTCCACCCTCGTCGACTCGCTCGCCGGCCGGATCGAGCGGGAGAGCCTCCGCGGCACCGTCACGCTCAACGACGAGGCCCTCCACGGCCGCCGCCTCCGCGCCATCTCCGCCTACGTAATGCAGGACGATCTGCTGTACCCGATGCTCACGGTGCGGGAGACGCTGATGTACGCCGCTGAGTTCCGCCTCTCCCGCGCGCTCTCCCCGGCCAGGAAGCGCGAACGCGTCGACGCGCTCATCGACCAGCTCGGCCTCGCCAGCGCCGCCGACACCGTCATCGGCGACGAGGGGCACCGTGGGGTCTCTGGAGGCGAGAGGCGCCGTGTCTCCATCGGCACGGACATCATCCACGACCCGATCCTGCTGTTCCTCGACGAGCCCACCTCCGGGCTCGACTCGGCGAGTGCGTTCATGGTGGTGCAGGTGCTCCTCGACATCGCGCGGAGCGGCAGCGTCGTCGTGATGACCATCCACCAGCCCAGCGCGCGGATCCTCGGCATCCTTGGCCGTCTACTGCTCCTCTCCCGCGGCCGCACCGTCTATGCCGGGACGCCTGCCGGCCTCATACCCTTCTTCCATGAGTTTGGCAAGCCCATCCCGGAGAACGAGAACCCGGCCGAGTTCGCGCTGGACACCATCAGAGAACTCGAGCGCCAGCCTGATGGCGCTGCGCTGCTCGCCGACTTCAACGCCAGGTGGCAAGCAGACCACAGGATCATCGAGACTGTCAACACGATGCCGCTAGAGGTGGCCATATCCGAGAGCGTCTGTCGTGGGAAGCTGGTGGCCGGGACTGTCACAGGGACGGCGTCGTCGGTGCCGACGTACGCGAACCCGCTGACCGTGGAGGTGTGGGTGCTGATCAAGCGCTCCTTCATCAACACGCGCCGCATGCCGGAGCTCTTCGGCATGCGCCTGGGCACCATCATGCTGACGGGGCTCATCCTGGCGACCATCTTCCTGCGCCTCGACGACACGCCCAAGGGCGTCCAGGAGCGGCTGGGCTTCTTCGCCATGGGAATGTCCACCATGTTCTACGTCTGCGCCGACGCGCTGCCGGTGTTCGTCCAGGAGCGACACATCTACCTCCGCGAGACGGCGCACAACTCGTACCGCCGCTTGTCGTACGTGCTCGCCAACTCCGTCGTGTCCTTCCCGCCGCTGGTCATCCTGTCCCTGGCGTTCGCGGTGACCACGTTCTTCGCCGTGGGCCTCGCCGGCGGGGGCGCGTCGTTCGCCTTCTTTGCGCTGATCATTCTCGCGTCGCTGTGGGCGGGCAGCGGGTTCGTGACGTTCCTGTCGGCGGTGGTACCGCACGTGATGGTGGGCTACACGGTGGTGGTGGCCATCCTCGCCTACTTCCTCCTCTTCTCCGGCTTCTTCATCAACCGGGACAGGATTCCCAACTACTGGATATGGTTCCACTACATTTCGCTCGTCAAGTATCCCTACCAGGCTGTGTTGCAGAACGAGTTCGGCGACGCGAGCCGGTGCTTCGCGCGCGGGGTACAGATGTTCGAGGGGACACCCATCGCCGGCATGACGGAGGCCGTGAAGTTGAAGGTGCTCGGCGCGATCAGTGCGACTCTCGGCACAAACATGACGGCCGCCACGTGCGTCGTCACCGGCGCCGACGTGCTAAGGCAGCAGGCCGTCACGGACCTAGGGAAGTGGATGTGCCTCCTGGTCACGGCGGCATTCGGCTTCTTCTTCCGTGCTCTCTTCTACGTCGTCTTGCTCGTTGGGAGCAAGAACAAGCGCAAGTAGACCGCCATCGAGAAATCATTAAATTTGCTCTGTTTCTTCTCAAATACAAAATATCTATAGTATAGGAACCATACGTAATTGATTTATGTGTTGATTTATATATTCGAGTTGTTCGATCTCTAGGTGCTTTTCAGCCTTTGCATAGTGGATTGTCCGAATGAGACAGAGACCTGACCTGTGTCCCAAGTCCTACCAACTTATTTTCAGACACCCAACTCAATTCCTTTTGAATAAAATATACTATGACCTTCACTTACTCTTTCTTTTCATCATTCGCTGTTTTTTTTAACTTCTGTTTTCATATTACTCAGCTGCTACAATGTCTCAACTATCCTTGTAATAATTTCCAAACTACCTCCTCTCCTTTGTTCTGGAGCAGTTGGTGCAACCTTCGATCTTTTGCTAGTGGAACACAATCTCTCGCCTTGAAACCATGTCGTCAAATTAGGCACACCCAACTTCCAGAATTTTAACACGAATTATGCATCTCCCTGAAACTAGATTCACAAGTCTTGGCAATCAAATCCAAAATATTACTACTCCCCCCGATCCATTTTACTTGTACTTTTTAAGCACTGACCGTAGAACAATTGTTCTACGGTATTTTCACTAATTAAATATATGTACAATTGCATGTCTTACAAAGAAAAAAATCCATATTACTTGTTGCTGACCGAAGAGTATTCGTCACATGACATAGATGATAAGAAACTCTATAATTGTCTTCTGCGACCATAGCTACCTTGTACACGATATGTACACACATGTAACATGTCTGTGGACACTGGAAACATATTTGAAGAGCCCAAAGAGTAGAAGAAGATTAAACTCCTCCTGTGTATTGCAAATCTGAAGCTCTTGCGTTGTATTATGATTTTTTTTTTCAATCGAGGATGACTACAATAGAATCTGTGTTTGAGGTGAAAAAAGAGAAAGACAATCTATGTCATTCGATTAGAGACTGAATGGCACAAATTTTGGTGGTGGGTATGTTGCCGCTTAATGTACATTTTACGACTCCCCCTCCCACCCAGCGTTAGATAGAAAGAAATACCTTTCTATACTACATAGGGAAATGAAAGTAAATGAAATGATCATCGATTTTGATACATAGGGAAACCCGGATATAAATTTTGTATCATTAAATTGAAGTCACTATTAAGTTTACCTATTTGATCTAGTATGCCATACAAAGCTTTTGTTGCATGGTAGCCACGTAACCAGTGCTGGAGTTGATGCATGTCTCGAAAGTACTCATTCCATTCATGAATATAAGATGTTTTGAATATTTGAATGAGAAAAGTATATTTTTCGTCCCTCAACTCTTGGTGAAGTTTAGATTTGGTCCCTCAACTTTGAAATCGGACAACTTGCAACCTCAACTGCTGAAACCAAACAAAGATCATCTCTGGTCTCGATTTTGACCGGTTTTGGTGCTAACTCACCCCGGTTTTGACAGGAGCTGACTCAAATCCGCGTAATTTTTTCATATCCGTAAACTTTTTGGAATTCACATACTATTTTCAAATCTATATAATTTTGTCAAGGTCGCGTATTTTTTTAAGTAAGCATACCTTTTCAAATCCATGAACTATATTTGAATTTTAGTACTTTTTTCAAATCCATATTTTTTCAAATTTGCATATTTTTTTCAAATCGGCGTGTTTTTCCAAGTTCGTATAATTTTATCAAATCCAAGTATTTTTTTTCAAATCTATGAAGTATTTTTGAAATTCGCATACTTGTTTCAAATCCGCATACTTTTTAAAGTTAGTGTACTTTTTTCAAACCGTGTTCCTTTTCCAATCCATGAACTTTGTTTGAAATTCACACATTTGTTTCAAGTTGACATAATTTTCAAATCCACATATTTTTTCTATTTTGTGTAAAAGAAGTCCAAATCCATGTACATTTCAAGTTCGCATAAAATTTTCAAATTCCTGAACTCTTTCTAAAAAATGCACGCGGATATGAAAAAGTACGGCAATTTTTAAAAAGTACATGAATTTGAAAAAACTAAATGAACTTTAAAAACTACGCGGATTTGAAAAAAGTACGTGAACTTGAAAAAGGTATGCGGTTGAGAAAAGTACATAGATTTTAAAAAGTTCACGTATTTGAAAAAGTACGTGAATTTGAGTCGGCACGCTCAAAGCCGGGGTGGGACAGCACCAAAACCGGTCAAAACAGTGACCTGGGATGAATCTTTTCCGGTCTCAGTAGTTAAGGATGTAAATTGTCCAGTTTTGAAGTTGAGGGACCAAATCTAGCCTCCGTCAAGAATTGAGGGACGAAAAATATATTTTTCTCTATTTTAATATGGACTACATACAGACTGAATAAGTGAATAAACACACTAAAACGTGTCTATATACATCTGATTTTGGAAAAACTATATACCTTATATTTGTGAACGTTGGGAGTACATGATATTAGTATGGTAGTCATATGTAGATTTGTTTGCAAAGGATACAAATCGGAAAGACACATAGCACATATTTTACTCAATTTCGTTACCCCGCAATGTGAGTAATAACTCTACTTTGCTTATATGGACCTATCTCAGATGATCTTATAATGAAGGAACATAATGTTGGAAATATGCCACAGAGGCAATGACAAAGTATTATTTTGTTTTCATGTTCATGATTAATGTTTATATTTCTGTGCTATAATTGTGATGCTCCTTGAATATGAGATTTAGAGAAAACATTTGCATATGTGGAAACATAAACACCAAGTAATTCTCTAGTCTCGCCTCTATTACTAGCTCATATATTGCATGATGATCATGTTTTACTGATCATAGGGCATTGTTAAAGTAACAAGGACAACGCCGACAACAATGAGAGCACATTACTAGCAGTACAATGGTGTTAAACAAAACCAACTAAATGATATACTATGAGATCACACCGTCACTTCTTTTTTTTGAAAACCCCCATATATTAATTTGGTAAATTAAGATTATTACAATCGTTCATTACAAAAGTAGTTACACATGGTTAGCATATCAACGGTTAGCATATACGCACATACTTAGACCATGAGAATGTTGTGTACCTTCCTGCTGAATGGTTACTTTGGGTTTGTCAAACGTTACCCGTAACTGCATAATTATAACAACAACTTTCGGGTACATTGGCAAAGTATACTCGCTCCATCCATATATATAGGGCCTTATGCATTTTTCGAGGTTGCCTTTGACTGTTGATAAGATCAATAGTATATGAGATATATAATGTAAAAATTATATCATTGGAAGCTCCTTTCACGTATGAATTCGAGGGTATGCTTTATGTAACTTCATGTCATATATTATTGCTCTACATGTGGTCAAAGTTAGCCTCGAAAAACATATTAGGCCCTATATAGATGGACAGAGGGAGTACATGTCTAGGGACTCGATAGTTCAAGACTGGGATTTTTCTCCTCCGAGGATGGAGAAATACTACGGGGCCACTCGGTATTATGGTATCCATCATTGTTCGGTTAGACACGGCGTAATATGATCACAGGGATAGCAGAATATGAAAACGAGAAAAGATAACAACATCGGTAATGATGATAACTTGGTTTTATGATCAAGTTGTGGATTCACAAGAATACCGACAAAAGTCTCGCCTTGGGTTTTGTTATGTATAGCGAAGCCAAGGGAATTATGTGCGCAAACAAAAGGTTCACTCGACAAATATATGCATATGTATGCAGGCTTTTCAATATGGGTGTCCAAATCCCGCTATTGATTATTGACCAGAAGGTGTTCCGGTCATGTTTGCATATTAAATCTGCAAGGTCACATGATTAAGGCTCACCGGTCCCATTTTTAGAATTTTCTAGAACCTTTCGGAAAGTTGCGGAAGGCGCTAGAGAGTTGCTCCCGGCCCAAGTGGGGGGG